CCACCAAGACCAAGAAACCAAGAAGCGCACAAAACTGCTCTTTAGCTCACCCCCAAGGCCCCCAAGTAATTCAGCCCTTCTTACCACACTGCCCCCGATCAGTCTACAAGACCCCTTCATGCTGAACCATCCAAGTCCTCAGTCTCAGCCCTTCTCTTTAGGTAACAACCCCCCCAACACACACACACACACACACACACACACACACACACACAGAGGGGGAGGGGGGAGGGAGGGGTGAGAAGCAGTCACCAATCGTCTCCAGAAGCACAGGAGCAGGGGGAAGTCTCACTCCCAGATCAAAGGTCTGTGGATGAAATCACTTTCAGGACAGTGCGTGAAATCGGCAGCAGATGAAAATTCCACCGTCTTTTTCACAGAGTCCAATGGAGCCAGTTTTCCCAGTTCAGAGTCTTCCTACAGACGACTAAAGATATTCCATAAACGCCCAACTGTTGCTCCAAGAGACCCACTTAAAATTAAAGACGAGATAATCATTTGAGAAAGCCTTTAAGGCCATTATGTGATTAGCAGAATGGAAGGGGGAAGGATCGGGTGCTTCCCCATCTTCGCAAGGAGCTGGCTGCCAAGGGGGTTCCACGGTTAGTCCCAAACCAGCAGCAGCAGCAGAAGCAGCCAGAAGGGACAAGCACGGGAGCAGAGCACAGGTTCTGCCCACCCTACCCCTTCCATGGAAGCCTTAGACCAACTGCAGGGAGGCAAGGGGAGGAAAAAATCTCAGAGGTGGCACACAATTCAAAGAAAGAGCAGCTGAGCCACCTTAGACCCTTCCTCCCCTCACTCCACTCCCCCAGGACACAGGAGGCCTGCTAAGGCCTCTCTGGAGGGGTGCACATCAAAACCCCCATGCATTAATCCTCATGTTGACAAGACTGCATGGTGACCCTCCCTTGGGATGAGAGAAGGGCTCACCCAAATGGCAGATTAAGCCCAGGCGTTTTGCTAAGAGGCCCTGCCTGTCTGGGGTTAAAACCAACAAAATAGAAGTTTTGCTCTGAAATGGAGCTAAATTTGCCACCTAGCAAATTTTCTACGTCTCTTACCTCATTTTTATTCACACCCTTACCCCTGCAAAAGCAAGAAACTCTGGGAATTAAAGGTGAAAGAAGGGGAGAAACATCTAAGGGGTGGGGGGAACCACCTTTAAAAGTAACGAGAAGCCAAGACACCTTCCTTGGGCAAAGAACTCTTTAGAAACGCACCCATCAGGGCTTGGACCGCTCAAAGCCTTGTCCTCAGCATCTTGCCCGCTGCCCCAAAGAATGAAAAGCAGAAGAAAACACTCAAGTTGTCTCTGTGCTTCTGAAGCTTTGGCACAACACTGTTGTCAATTCCCCCGTTTCCACATCCATATAGAAGTCATTTACCACATTAGTAGGAAAAAAGCCCTCTAACATCTGACTGTCACTTCACACATGTTCAAAGAGAACGGTCTGGCAGCCAACTTTAAATCATACAGAAAAGAAATCTGACAGTTGTTGATTTTGTAGTTTTCCCCCTCAATCTGGATTTTGAGAGTGGCTTGCCAGTGAGCCAAGACTGTTGCTCGGGTCACTCCCTCGGGTCAGTCTGACCCAATCTTAGCTTCTGTGTGTGTTTCTCAATCTGAGCAGCCTAAGGACTCCAGACACTGTGCTCTGGACAGAACAGGCACCTTTTAACATTTGATTGAGATCAGCTCCTGCAAAGGAAATCCCTTGACTAGATTCTAGTAAACCTGGGTCCTCCTTTCTCCTTGACCATAGTTTATAACCCAGGCAGAGGCGGGTGATTCTGAGCTGTGATTTCTGACAATCACCATTACAATCAGATTCTCATACCAGAGCATGTGCAGACCCCTATGAAGTTCACTGTAATGGAATCTGCCTTCCTGTTGTGTCTTCACGGTAACGCCCCATCCTGGTTAATTACACCAGCCTTGGGGACCAGAGTAGGCCAACAGGCCCCAGAACTACAGAAATAGGCCAGGCTAAGAGCAAGCAACCATTTTAATAACAAGTGAAAGTATAAACCACAGCACATGCTGCACTGCTTGAGGTTACTGATGCTGGACGTCAGGTGCATTATCCCTGCAATACTAGCAAGTGTGAGATGGAGCTTGCAAGTTTCTCCAGGCAGAATCTCGGTTGTCTCCCCTACAAGACAAGGCCAAGCCCTTGATGTTAAGAAGGTAGCTAGTTACTCTCAATAGTGGGTATAGAGACAACTCACTTTCTTCCCCTTCAAATAATTCCCTCTAATTTCCTACATTTTTATAAAATGCCACTTGGTCACTTAAATATTTACTTTTTAAAATAAAACTGTTGCAATTCTGCAAAAAAAAAATAATTTCTTAGGTGAGGGTCTGTTTTGGGTCCTTTTATTTCTCATACTACTACTTAAGAAGAAATTAAAAATAAAAATCCCCAGTAGCACACAGTGACAATAAGGACATGCTCCTTGCACACCACTCAAGACCAGAACTGAAGGAACTGAGCTAAATTATCACCAGCCCCAGATAATATCTTGCTAGTATTTATTCTAATGAACTAACAACCTCTGGGTCACCCAAGGTGAGCCAGGCCTGTCCTGGAAGTGTCTAGTAATCATCATTTAATAATAATGAAAACTGAAATCTCGCTTATTTTAGCTCCTTGCCACTGGGCAGTCCAACTGGCACCAAGTTTACAGGGCAGTTAAATCCATTCCAAATCCTTTCCGAAAGCATCAAGAAGGAAGGCATTTCACTGTCCTGCTGGGAGGAGCCAAACTGAGGCCCGCTGAGAGCACTGTTTTAGTTGGGTCCTTTCCACCCAGCCTGAGTATTCATTTGTGCAAATAAAAGACGGAAGGGAAGAAACCAAAATTAAAGTTTCAGGTGGTTGGGGAAGCAGCTCAGATTTTTTTTTTAATTTTGGAAGAGTGGGCAAGGGTTTCTCAATAGTTGCCCGTCAATCAAAACTGTTTTCAGGAGCACTGGAAAACAGCAGTTCTGTCCCAGAGAAAGTGCAGCCATTTCAAAAGAGAGCTGGGAAAAGGGAGGTGACCCATGTCATAAAGACAGTAGGTCTTCAAGCCACTTAATTCCTTGTGATTCCAAAAGGACTGTTTTTAAAGTGTAAAAGTGCTTGCTTCTGCATCTGCCCCATGTTGTTAAATAACACTTGTGTAATTAAATAAAAGAGCAAAGTGTGACCCTAGCCCATTCTGAGAGGCACTTACACGCTCCCTGAAAACATGCTGGAAACGAAATGAAATGCAGACAATCTCCTTAGTCCTGTAATTTAAGGAAGGAAGGGAGGAAAAGTTTCTCTTGGCCTTCACAGCCACACACCCTCTGAAGGGGGGGGGCACTTTGGGGTCTCTACAAAGTACACTGAACACAAATACAGGTGTGCAAACATCCAGGTATGTACCTCTCTCCAATGACCCCATTCTTGAAACCCTTAAATTATTCAGAATTGCGGTCTCCTGACTTCCCTCACACCCCACCTCTGCTCTCTAATTGCTTTTCGTGTTTGGGTTGGGTAACGAAAAGGATTTCAGAATCTCAGGCCGCTGGTGGCAGTTCTGATAACAAGGAACAGGCCCACGCTCCTGGCCTCGGCCTCTCACGATCAGGTTACCTTGGAAGGTGTATGTTTTCCTCTCAAATGCAATCTCGGCCCCAGCACTCAGGCTTCCCTCTCCAGCCCAGCCTACTGGAACTCGTGATTTTCAGGGTTTCCCCTTGAAAACTATCCAGAAACCACAGCCATTAAAAGAACATGAAGGTTTGACACCTCCTGAATTTAGGAATGAGGGGGACTCCAGGGGCCAACTCTACAAACTCGCACCTGCTGCTTGATGGCAAAGAAACGAAGTTCCCAGGCTAGAGTGAGTTTTAAATTATACTCTATTTATTTAGTGACTTGTCTCCAAAGATCTCAAAGCATGGGATGGAACAAGATGACGTGTGACTTTCTCGCTATCTACCTACAAGGTTTAAGTGAGTTTTCCTTGCTTTGCCTTGATATACTCCACCCAGCAGGCCCAGTGTGTGGGAGAGGCCTTCTCCCTGTGCTCAAGTGTGCCCTCTCCGAGGTTATCTGTCAGTGGCTTTTAGAGTCTTCTTCAAGGCCAGTGAAGTGACACAAATAGAGGATGCGGGAAAGGTGACCCTTCTGGATTCACCTACTCTTGGGTTTCATTTAAGCCGGTTTGTAGACCGTGTGCCATGTGGCAGGCAATGCACTCAGACTACCCCAGGCATGAGCTGTGGTCTCTGTCCTCCGGGCGTTTACCCATCACTATAGCTCATGTATGTCTAAAGCAGACAGAATCATTTTCCAGAAAGTTCTTTTCCCTCTAAGTGTACAATGATTTTTTTTTTTTTTTTTTTTTTTTCTTGCTACTGACCTAACTTGGGCATTCCTCCTGCTCCTTTAACAGGACAAACATCTCAGCTTTCCCTCTCTCACCCCCATCCCTGCGGAAGTGAAAGCTGCTCTGGTTTTTCCAGAGTGAGAACAAACTAAGATTAGAGGGTGGTCAAGGGGATCTGCAAACGTGCCTTCCAGCTCCCCAACTCTGATTCTCCCTTTAATGCTCCACAACAAGCGCATTTTTCACATTGTTTTGAACTGACCAGTGACTTCTCTTGGGCTGAAAAGGGGGGCATTTTTAGGCAGAGGAACCCAAACTTCAAAATGACACCAGCACCGCAAGTATTCAGAAGGCGGGAACTAATCCAAAAGCAAAATAAGTAAGGAGGGAGGGGAGAAAAGATGGAAGGGAGGGAAGGAGGAAGGGCTTTACTCGGCGGTGCCCAGCAGCATTGCGAGGCGCTCGCCCCAGGTAGGTTCCAATTGGACCTAGTAGTTCAAGTGCATCCAGCCGGCCCTTCCCCCACGCGCCCCAAGAGAATGGGAAGTTCAGCCAAGACTCACAGCACCTGCCCGCGGCTCCAGGCCGGCTGCGCGACCCGGGCGGGCGGCGGCGGGGGAGGCGGCTCCACTCACCTGGCACACAAAGGGAGCTCCGCGCACCTCCGGCGGGAGGAGGCACTTGCAGGTCCGAGGGCCGGGGCGTGCGCGACAACGGGGAATTCCAGCGGCACCAGAGCCCCAAACTTACCCACCCCAGGCGGCATTCTCCCCACCTCCCGCTGCCCCCGGGGCTCCGAGGTGGCTCTGCCTAGGTGCAGGGGGGCCGCAGGCAGGGGAGGGGGGCTCATGGTGGCGGCCGGGGCTGGCGGTCGCCCCTCCCCAGGAGGGAGNCCCCAGGAGGGAGGATCCCCGGGCGCTCGGCCGGGATTCACCCAAGGGGCGCGCGGCTCGAGTCCCCGTCCCCGGCCTGCCCACCGCCGGCTCGGCCGCCCTCCTGGAATCGCTTTATGTAAATGAAGCTCCGCTCGCAGTTTGCGGCGCTCACCGCCCCG